TAATTACATGTCTTATTATACCATCACAAAACTTGCTTATTTATCTTCAATTTACAATTATACTTTTGCGAGGTTATGTTAGTTTGACGTGTCTGTACAATATCAAGCATTAAATATTCAAGATTTCCAAGTTGGAGCGAAAACATTTGCCGAAATTGAACCGGTCCAATTTCGGCAACGACATTTTTTTCAATGATAAATTATAATTAACCCTACAATGCTACCCTTCGAAAAACTTATGGGAATGGCAAACATTCGTCTCCGAGACGAAGTATGCGTAAGCGTGCTTAAAACTTACTTTAAAAGCTAATTGCAGAAATATTGCAGAACCCCTGTTTCACCTTCTAGTAGTGATGATGATGAAGATAGAAGTAATAACGAAAATAAACGATTTAGGACAGTTCTTGAAAAAACTGACCGCGAGCAAAGAAAAATCCAAATCCAACTGGCCCTTTTCGTCTTCTCCCAGTGCACCAATAGCCCAGAAAGCAGTGGAAATAACAAGCAGCCCTTACAAATCGCGGTTATACCAAACCTTAAAAAAATCAGTTCACCAAAATTTAACAAAATGCAGAAACATAAAAAAGAAACTGGTGATTCATGGTTTTGTATATTATGTGAATAAACCAAGGAAGAAGAAATGATACAATTCGTGAAATGTTACGCTTGGATACATACTCGGTGTGCTGTAGTTAGTGCTGCAATTAAAAGGTTCTTTTGTTGTAATTGCCGTTACGAAAGCTCATGGTACAATTTAGGAAACTAGCTGTCCAAATAAGGAAACCGGTTTCCTAAATTGAACCGATGACACGATTTTTTTAATTCATTTTTCACCGTTATAAATAATTTTTAAAATTTAATAAATGGTTCTATTTTGAAGGTACACTTAGTGAGTTTATTTTCTACCACTTAATTTTTATTGGCACTTCTTCCGTCTTTCTATATAGTGAAAAATACAAAATTGGTTCAAATTAGGCTACTCTTCCCTATGCAGCATTGTTAGCGTCTCTCAATGTAACGGAGATAATAGCCGCAGTTCATGAGTTTTGAATTTTCTACAAAAATATTTAATTCAATATTTATTTGCATTCTAGTATACCCATGAACATGAGTAGTAAACCGGAGAAATCGAAAACTTATCACTTCAAAGAAGAATGGGAACTCGATTACTTTTTTACAATGCTGAATGATAAATGTTGTTGTTTAATATGTCTTACCTCAGTAGCCATTGCTAGAAAGGGTAATCTGGAGAGACATTATGTCAGTCATTTTCCGACGGTGAATTTATAAAGGAAATGTTCTTTAGAAATGCCAGATTCACTTTTTAACGATTTTAAAAACAAGATTAAAATTGTTGCTGAAATTCGAGATCAACAATTGTCTCGAAACACAGTGATGCGACGATTTTGAAAGGGTGAGTGGGAATGCAAAACAGTACTTATATAATGATATTAACAGATGTTCTTGTTTTCCCCTTCAGTGTGATGAATCGACAGATATAAGTGATATGGCAAAATTATTTGTTTTCGTTAGTGTAGTTTTTAAGAATTTTACATCTAAACAATTGTTGGGTATGATTTCTTTGAAGGAAAGGACTAGTGTAGACATATTCAAAGCCTTTAAAAACTTGCTCAGTGATTTGAAAGTACCACTTTTTAAATTAGTCTCGATAACAAAGAATGGCGTAGCTGAAGTGATAGGTAGCACAACTGGATTTATAGCCCTATTTCAAAAGAAAGATAAATTCCCTGCCTCTTTAAGCTATCAGTGCATAATTCAGCAGCAAGTGTTGGTTAGCAAGAGACTAAACACAAAAGAGGTAATGGACACAGCATTTAAAATTGTTAATTCAATTCAAGGAAGTTCCCTGAAACGACGTATCTTCCAACTACAGCTCGATGAAGGCCAGCCTGAATTATTACTACTTACCAATGTCAGATGGCTTAGCATAGGTAAATTTTTGCGGCGATTCGTGATTTATTGCCTGAAATTATAGATTTTCTTCACGAACAAGCTGGAAACTGTGAAAATTTAAATGATGAAACTTGGCTTAGTGCACTTCTTACTGACTTTACTTCAATATTAAGTCATTTAAATTTAGAATAACAAAACAATTGATATGATCAGCTGCATAGACGCATATAAAACCAAATTTATTTTGCTAATAGAAGATCTGCAACAAAACAATCTGAATCATTTTCCAAATATGGCGGATAACCTACAAAAACACAAACATATTAATTATAAGATCGACAAATATGTTGCGGAAATCCAAAACGTAATTGAAGATTTCGAGATAAGATTCCAGGATTTTGAAAAAAATTTTAAAAATTGTGGAATTCATATCTTTTCCTTTTAATAAAGATTTAAGTGTGAAACGCATTAGCCAAAAATTTTTAGACTTATTTCTTATGGATCAAAAGAATCATTAGAAATCAAAAGATCGTTAGAAAATTAAATTATAATTTTACAAATTGACTTAATCTTACAAGCCCGAAAATTTGAAGAAGATTTTTGGAAATATGTCAACTGAGAAAAATATCCCAGTTTCACCAAATGTAGCAAATATATCTATGTTTGTTTCGGATCTACATACCTATGAGAATCGGCATTTTCATACTTGAAACTAAAGAAGATTAAACAACGTTCTGTCCTAACTGATTTCCATACTGAAGACACATTATTATTTATTATCTTCGTTAGAATATACACCTAATTATGATTCCTTGATTAGGGACATGCAAACTCAGTCTTCCCACTGATATTAAGGCATCAAAGTAAATTCTAAATCTGTCTTTATCTATAGCTCCTTTGAATTAATAAATAATTGTTAATAATTATCCATGTTCCTTTTTCACCCTTTGACAAGAGTTTTTGAGATCTTCAAATAATTATTGTTGTTGTTTTTTATGTAGGTAGCTAAACCTTATATCTATATTTCAGTACGAGGTACACTCAGCGAACTATTGATAGATTAGCGAAAAGTAAGCTATGTTATTCTTTCATGATAAATTCTCCTGGCCCAGAAAAATGCGAAAGTGAAATATTGAAATCAAATTATCAGCCACACTGTGCACTTTTATAACAACTTTTTCATATTAACGAGCAAATAGTACAACAATTTATGCATGGCAGTAAATAAAAAATTAAACTGCATTTTAAGTCAGTAAACATCTAACTTGGAAAAGTGTCGGAAAATTGAATTTTTTAGGTAACGCATGTACGGAATGCTGCTATTAAAAGTTGTGTTTAGAAATTTATTTTCTTCATGAGCCTATATCTCGAAAACTTAATAAGTGATTTAAAAAATAAATAGTTTTGAACCTATATTTTACTATCTACCAATACCTCGCTGGAACGCACCTTATACTGAAACACACACAAACAGTGTATAGACATTTTACACCCTTCTCCCCCCTTAGACTACACCTATGACAACAAGTCGATCGCGATACACTTTTAAAATAAAAAGTAGATCTTACATACAAAAAAGTTGGCCAGCCTTAGTACAGAGCACCTGACAGAATTCTATAGCATTTTGCAAAAGATTTGCGCGAATTTGTAAGTCTAATGGATAGAGAAGTAAAAAAATATTTAATTTCTGAATTTCAAGGAGCACTTTATTACTCCGTTATCGTAGACTCTATGCACTATAGAGCTTATGTAGATAAAGTAACTTTCATTTTGAGATCTGTTAAACAAAATAAAAAATAAAAAAGAATGCCATGTTTCTTTTTTTATTTTTTATATCGAACATCACTATTCCGATTATTTAGGAGGAACAGTTATGGAAATTTTAAGATTTATCAATAGACATTATAAACTGTAGGGCCAAACCTACGATATTACATTAAATACGTCTGGCAAATTAAATATGGTATTGCGTCAATTCAATAGACAATATTAATCAATGCGTAAAGCATTCCAACAGTAGGTAAGCAAAATAGCACTTACCTGAATCGTCGGGTTCTTCATTCAGGTATATCCAAAAAATACGCACAGGTTCAGCTTTTTAAAACTTTAATCTGTACACAAGTTATAAAAGAGAGGTTATTACAAGAGATCAAAAATTACGCATCCATTTCCTAAGGCATTCATAAAAAAACTAAACTAAAAATAGAACACTGATTACATCATGAATCATTGAGCGCACGGTAAAACTTACGTAATCAGTTACAATCGTTATTCCCGCGCATAGGCGGAAGTATCACGGATCCCAATATACTCCCACCTTTGAGATTCGAACCAGGGAATCTCAAACCCTAATTCTAGGTTTAATTAATCGTCCATATCTGGATCTTCTTTAGGAACAGTCTCTGGGAAAAACCATTAACAGTTCGTTGCTTAGAAGGAGTTATCTTTTGAGCTAGTACTGGGTTGTCAGAAGCGTTTCTGAAAGACGATTTTCATCAGTCTTCGGTTCATTGAGAATAGAATCCTGTTCTGCTACAGGTATAACGAGGTCACTTTTATTAGTCACTTCAGGAGGTATTAACCTAAGTACTGGGCGGAGAAATTCTCCGTTTTCATTTTTATTTTTACTAGGCGAACTTGTCTATCTTTAGAACGATAGAGTTCGACCACCCTAGCCAGAGGCCATTCAGTTTTCTTGACGTTATGACTAGAAACCAGAACAATATCACCAATTTGGATGCGTTTCTGATTTTTATAAGATTTCGATGATTGGCGTAAATTCCCTACATATTCAGTACGAAACCGTTTTCTCAAATCTTGTTTCACACGTTGACGGTAAACATGTCTTTTATTTAACAACGACGAATCCAAAACATCAAGATCTGGGATTTCTATTTAAGATCATGCAAAGACATAGAAGGGGTAAGTGGAGTTAAATCATCTACGTCTTCTGAAATATAGGTTAAAGGTCTCTGATTAATCACACCTTCAATGTTACAAATAACGGTGTTCATTTCTTCTAAATTAAGTGAGCTTCTATCTAGAACCTTTCGTAGAATTCCTTTCATTATACCTATCAGACGTTCTCACCACCCACCCCACCATGGGACAGACGGGGGATTAAATTTCAAAATGATCTTTTGAGGTCCGCTGTATTGGGAAATGACGTCCCAATCAATTTTCTTCAACAAATTCTCAGCTCCTGAAAAATTAGAACCATTGTCACAGTAAAAGATGGAAGGTCGACCCCTTCGAGCGATGAAACGTCTAAGAGTTTGCAAGAAATATTCTGTCGATAAAGATGCTGTCAACTCCAGATGTATAGCTCGGTAAATGGCAAAGGTAAATATAACAATCCAAGCTTTCTGGCCATTTCTTAGGATTAATGGGCCAGCGTAATCCATTCCTGTGACTTTGAAAACTGCAGCTTCCTTTATGCGATCTTCTGGGAGAGGAGCTTCGATGATCGGTTTAAGCCGCAAATTAAATCGTTTAAATATTACACAGTTTCTGATTACATTTCTTATTGTCTTCCTGCATTTAAGAATCCAAAAATCTTCTCTTAAGTTGCTCATCAGGATTTGAACTCCTGCATGGTACAGAAGCATGTGTCTAGTCCGGATGGTTTTTTCTGTAACTGGATAATTACAGAGTAGTATTATCGGATATCGGAAATTTCTTGTATCTTTTCTCATTAAGATTCGCGTCTTAACTTTCAAAATACCATTACAATCAGCGTAACACTGTATCGTTTTCAAGCGTTTATCATCCGGTCCTGTAAATGATTCCTTCTGTACAACTTTTAGCAACGCGATCTCTGCCTTATTTATTTCTTCTAGTGTCAAGATTAAAGAAATTCGATTATACTTTTCAACCTTACAATTGGTAAAAAATCGATACATCTATGCAGTGACTCTAAGTAGTTGGTTGTACGAAGATAATCTATCATAATATTTTTCCTGGGGTGACATTTCGTGATTAACTGTGCTAACAACAGTCTTTCTTTTGTCTAAGTTTATTATATCGAAATCAGAAATTACGTTAAAATTTGACCATTCTTCCATTGGTTTTCTCAGCCACGATGGTCCTTCCCACCATCGAGATTTTCGTAATGTTTCTGCATCGCATCCCCGTGATGGAAGATCTGCTGGATTCAATGGACCTGGGACGTGATGCCAGTCTTCAGGACTTGTCATATAACGAATCTCTTGTACTCAGTTAAAAACGAAGGGAGCAAAATTTTTGTTTCCCTTAATCCAATACAAAACGTTTGCCGAGTCAACCCAAAAAACTTCGGCACATTTTCCATTTTTAGGTCATTAGTCACACTCTGAGCTAATCTAGCTCCAATGTTGCAGGAGAAAAGTTCCATCCTTGGAATAGAAATAGATTTCATTCGTGCAACTCTACACCGTGCCTGAACAAGTTGACAGGTCGTTGAAGTTTCGGTCTCACTTCGTAAGAAAACACAGATAGCATAAGTTGTCTTACTTGCGTCATAGAATACATGCAATGCTTTTTGGTACTTTACAATTGGGAATAAGACATCGGGGAATTTCTATTTCTTTCAGCTTAGAAAGTTCCCGTCTCCACTTCTCAAACTTCTTTGCAATGGTGGTAGGAAGTTTAGTATCCCATGATACTTTCATTTTCCAGCATTCTTGTAGGAGGGCTTTTGGTACCAAAGTAACAGGACAGGTGACGCCAAGGGGATCAAAGATTTTATGTACGGTTGACAGGATTTTTCTCTTTGTCACAGCCGTATCGTCTTCAACATTTTCTCGTAAATCTACCGTCAAAAAGTCATTCTTTAAGTTCCACTCAAGCCCTAGAACTGGAATATTCTTTTCATTTTTTGGCAAAGGGTCTTCAGAGTCTTGATTATTATAACTGTGCTCCCACCCTCGAAGTTCGAATTTGGCAGTGCTAAGAACCAGCTTGGATTCCTCAATAAATTTCTCAAGTTCTTCGGGATTTTACACAATGGTAACACGGTTATCCACGTAAAAGGATTCCAACAGCTTGGTGGCTGTTTTTTCAAAACGGTGAGGAGCATTCTGTAAATAAAATCGAATGGTTGCTCCCAAAAGATACGGGGAACATGAAAGTCCGAACACAACCCGTCTGTTCTGGAAAACTTTAGGTTTGGCAGGATCACCACCCTTCCACCATAGAAACTTTAGATATGATTGATCACTCTCACTCAGTCCAATTTGTAGGAAGGCTCTACGAGTGTCCGCAACAACGCCTATTTTCTTTAATCTAAATCGATTCATGATGGCGGGAATGAGCTCGACGGTGATGGGGCCCTTTTCCAGGCAGTCGTTGATAGAAGGTGAGTTCTTTTCTCTGGCCGATCCATCAAAAACCGGTCTCACTCTTGTAGTGGAATTTTCTTTCACTACAGCCCTGTGAGGTAAGGAGTGTTCACTTTCTTCGTTACAGGAATTCTTAACTTCTTCAATAACGCCTTCTTGAAGCCACTCTCTAAACACTTCTTCGTATGCTTCTAAGTTTCCATTTCTCTTCAGTGATTCAACGCAGCCCTTTAGCCTTCGTTCTGCAACATTTTTGCAAGTGGGCAAAGGAGGATGGCCTATTATCCAAGGGAGACACAACTTACCTTCCATCGACATCTAATTTTACACTTATGTTAAAATGTTCTTCAGCTACAATCTCAAACTCTTGTCGACTTCCCTTCTCTCCAGGGTCCAAAGTGTTTGCATGAGAACTTTACGAGTAGCTGTTTTGTTAGATAGAGCGGAGTCTTTACTTTTGATTTGTTTCTCCTCAACCTGGAGCGATCGGTTCGAATTTTCGGGATTACATTTTTCAGTATACATTAATTTAAAATGACCCTTACCGCAAATCTCACACAGTGGTACTTTCCTTTTACAAAATCGAGAAATATGCTTTCTTACTGCTAAACATAAACATGCGCCCCTTTTTAACAACATTTGCTTTTTCTCTTCATAAGGCAAATTATCAGCATACCTACACTGGCTACTTATACGTGCTTTGCTACAAAATACACAAGTTTCCTTTTTAATTAAATAGCTATTAATTAATTTAATAGTAATTAACTACTTAATTTTAAAATTTTTAATGAGTTTAATAGTCATTTTATTTATTTATTTACTCTTGTTCCTCTTTGCTGACGGTCTTCCATAGGGCTCCGGCACTTCTAATCTTAGAAATTAAGCCCTGCTTAAAATAAATTGATACATTATACGAAAGTTTGTAAAAATTAAAACTGGAATCACTTCCTTTCACATAATTTCTGACTAGCTCTTCCAAAATATTTTAAAGCTTACTTTATAACAGACTAGAAATGTCTACATTTTGGGAAATTCATTTGCTGTTTTTAGTTAGTAGTTTTAATTGGGGTTGTTATGTAAGAGGCATTTAATCGTTGTTGCTGTGTTACAGTGCTTATTTTATTGTATAAGTACTTGTAAGGCAGCAATAATGCAAATATTGCTTTATTTGTTAATATTATAATGCATAGAGGAACTTAAAAAAAGAACAAAAATAATTTTTTCCTTTATAATATGTCCTTAAAGGGTTTCCAATGAAAGCATAGATAACTAAGTAGTAACATTAATAACATTATATCAATTAATTTACTAACCGAATATGATAAAAATTTCAAATTCGAAATCCGTCTTTTTACTGAGTACTTTTCTCAGAAAGAAAAATATCTTCAAAAAAATCTATGCTGTTAATACATTTTTGGATAACTTCCTGAGAGGAATTCATTGATAATAATAATATATAGAATCCATTAGGTGCTTAAAGCCATGAAACGGGTAAACTTAACAACGCACTCGGCAGGCTCACAGTCATGACCGGTTCGGTTTTTTAAATACAGGAAAGCTATGAAGACTATCTACCTAAGGCTGCTATCACACGTCGGTTTGTTTCGGAAGAACAACTGTTTGGAACAATTTTTCTGCTTTGTCCCAACAGCCAATCAAAACAGATCGCTTTGGGGTTAAGGCAGGGGAAACTGGTTCCCCACTAACAAACAAGCTGATAGCATTCGAAGCTGATAGCTGATTGGTTGAAAACGAACAACCTGCAATTTTTTTGGAAAGGAAGGAAAAAGTCGCGCGTCTTTCTTTCAATAGTAAACCAGGCAGAAAAATTGTCCGAAACAGTTGTTCGTGTGAAACAAACGCCGTGTGATATGGGCCTTAGAGGAGGGATGCCTTCGTGGATGATAATCTGAAGAAAGCTAGCGTATTACACATGAGAAAAACCACGAAAACCAATCATGCAGTCAGCCCGTTCGCCTGAAATCAAACTCAAACCAGGCCGAACTACCAGTATTCAGATTCAGAGGTCTTAACTGTTCGGCATATTGATGAGGCCTTGAACACAATCATGAAATCTTCAAACTTATTCAGCTGGACGTGCTGTTAATTCCATATATTCTCCTCTCTTAAAGACTGAAATTCGATTGGACCTGCTTACTACTTGCACCACCAGGGGACGCAAGGCAAAAAAGGGTAAGTCTTTATAAATGTACCAGCACGACAGCATTATATGATTTGTTGGACATCTTAACTTCGAAAATTATATGGAATGTATTTCCAAATGGATATTATGTTCGATTATTTTTAACTTGTTGATTCTAAACCGATCGTCACCTTTTCAATCCAAAAAAATTTCGTATTATATCTAGATGCTATATAAATCATTTTATCTACATACACTAATTTACGAAATTTAACTTTTACATTAGTCCTACAGCAAGAAATTTCAAAATAGAAAGTGTTCTTCAATATAATAAGTTTCAGAAACTGTATTTACTATGACTTAAGGCTTTAAAATTTTAATATTTATAACGAAGATTTCAGGAGGCGTCTTGGCATTGAAATAATGGAATGCTAATCCTGAATTCTTAAAAAGTCCTCCAACGAAGGCATCCTTACTTTTAGGCAGATAGCCCTAGAATGCTTTACATTAGTCAAATAAGCCAAAGCATACTGTTGCTGTAAAAAAAAAAAAAAAAAAAAAAAAAAAAAAAAAAAAAAAATTGTATTTTTTCTTACATAATTTCGACTGCAAACGTTATATTAGTTACTACGGAAAGATTTTATTTTTGTGATAAATTCTGAATGCTTGAATTTTTATAATACACAGAAACAGAGATAACAAAAAACTAAAAAAATATTCATAATTTACTAGGATATATAAACAATATAATCATTGTTAAATAGATTTTTAATAAGAATATTTTGGAAAAAATAAATGATTAATGTATACTTTACGTCGTACTTCCTAAAAAGCTTGTTTGCTTTAATTGAAAACGATGAAACATTCTTGAATCATCTGACTAAGAAGTGGAATGCTTTCGTGGAAGATTTTGAAAGGAAACTTGGCTCATAATTGTATTTCACACAGAGAAATCCTAAAAAGTTCCTATGTAGCCAGGCTGTACGCCATGATTCGAATCCGTATCGAAGGACCAGATTTTGTGGTCTTATCCAGTCGGCCATCAGAAAACCCAGTTTCGTAGAAGAATCGAGTCATTAAAGAATTTGCTAATACATTGCATCGGCTAAATAATTTGCATATCACATAGATTTAAAAGTTTAACATA